GTGTTCACTCTGACCTTACACAGAGCAAGAGAAAACAGATGTCGTATCATTTTGCCAAGTTTCTTGCTTGCAGTTTAGGAACGGTTCCACACGCACAGGGAGGTTTTTGTTAATTTCTTTCAGATGATGGTAGAACATTTTGCATTATTTAAGACTCCTGATAACCTCTTTCTACAGAAATGAATATTAGCACTTGATTATTCCTATCCCTTTTATGAGAAGTACTGTGTCTTGTTGTCAGCTTATTAAGTTAGTGTTGTAAGTGCTTTTTAGAAAGAGGTGCATTAATCTGCAAGAGCACTGTTCTGCATCTTCATATTATTATGTTCTGCTAGAATTCTAGAGGCATAGGTAAAGGTGATGGAAACTTGATGAGAATTGCTAAAACCAAGACTTCCTAGCTTCCTCACTAAAATGGATGCTTACAGTAGCCCACGAATTCCCTGACATTGCCCATATTCTGCAAATATTGAGCATTTTCAGCAACTTTCAGGAACTGCTGAAAGTTCTGTTAACTGGGGAAACCCTGTGTGACTTATGAAGACTCTCAAAATAAGCAATTATCCTAAATAATGTCGAATTAAAAATAAAGAACCACCAAACCCTCAATGGTTCAGTGGTCTTTATTTTAATGTTAGCTTGCTACCCTGGTGTAGGAAGCTGTGAATTGACTCCAGTAATTCTTTTTGATAATTCCCTTAAATTGGTACAGACATTTTCAAGAGATACAGGATTGATAAGATGAAAGCAGTTTCTATGATTTCATGAATTTTAAGCCCAGGAGAAAAACCCTACCTTTGAAAGCACTTAATTACAGTGGATAGGTAAGGTTTGAGTTGAGTCATGTTTGCAGATATTTCTGCCAGTTTCATTTTTTTGTGGAATTCCAGACTAAGAGTTAGAAACTTGGCTATCAAAGGAATTATTTTCTCTTCTGAAACAGAACTGAAATAACCATGTGAATTAAACTATGGTGAGGCAAGTTTCGGTAAGGAAGGAAGTCACAGTACTTAATGTATTAAACTGCTGTTTGCCAGGGAGATGGGGGGACAAGTTAAAGAGTTTGTCTCTCTCCTAACTTCCTGAATTTTTAACTGTTTAACCATTTTCGATGCCAAAATCTTGTATAAAAGCAAACATCTGTTTGTACGGTGCCTTTTGTGTAAGACAGGATAAAGATGCATGGGGAGTCTTAGTTGTGGTTGCCATTTGGAATTCGGCTTGGAAATCTAGCATGTTCTAAGGGGAAGGAAGTTGCTTGCTGCTTATGATCTCCCAGAATGTACCCAGATAGCTGTTTTAAGGTTTAGTAGTCTTGTGATGACAGAAGCTGCACAGTGATGTAAGTAATTAATGACAGGAGGTGTTTGGCACATTAATAATTTTTCCACTGCCAAACTATATAAATTTTCAAAATGAACTTTTTAGAGATGGCAGGGTTTTTTTGTTTTGTTTCGTTTGTTCGGCTTTTTCCCTGCAAAGCAAAGAAGTGGATTGTGGATTAATTTGATCTATCCTGACCTAGTTGGAGTTGATGATCCATATGAGTCCCTTCCAACTTGAGATATTCTGTGACTCTGATTTGTCCTTGTAGCTGAACTGCTGCTGCTCCCCAGGATGGCTGTGGGTTTGCTCCTGCAGTGCAGACACAACCCTGTTGCACTGTGGAATGTGATTGTTGACATTTCAACTACTTTGTCCTGGGAGAATTGCAGATGAATGAAATTTCAACTCATATTCAAGGATTTCAGTTGGACATCCTTATCCACTGGCAGCTTTTTTGCTCCTCTTCTCCCATGTCTGCCATCTTACGGGTTCCAGCTATGGATATATGTAAAAGTATTTTCAAGCTTCTCTTTTTCCACTGTGATCAGTATGTCCTGTCGAAGGATCAAAAGCAGAAGTAACTGAATCCCTGGTAGAATTCAGGCTGTAATAGACTGCGACATAGAGGAAAGAACCAGAAAGCAAAGTAAGTCCTTTCCAGTCACTTGTTCAAAACCCAGTAGTTGCTAATGCAAAATATGTATTGTTAAATGGGCCACAAGTCAGATTTTTCCATCACAATATACTTTCTGTTCAGAGAAAGCAATTTCTTTACAACAATTTCCTCAGATGCACTTCTTTCTGTCTCCCCCCCCGCTGCCCCGTTCCTAAGGGATTTGCAATGTAGGTTAGTGGTAAAGTTGACAATGATCTTTCAAAGTAGAGCATTCCCTTCTCACACAGTGCTGTTACTTGATTTTTATGGCATGAAGTTTCCTTTGCTAGGTGCATGAATTAAGGTACAAGTATTGTACCAAGTAGATACAAGAATTAAGCTTCCCAGCATGTATGGAAGAAGATCTTCATGTTTTAACCATGAATTGTCATAGGTCTTTCTGTCCCTTTTGGAAAGGAAAACTCATGATCTTTCATCCTGAATACAATGCCTGCATAATGCGAGTGTGGTAACCCCCTAGGCTAGAATAGGAGCCCAAGAGAAGCGCAATGTGATCTGCCCAGTTACCTAAATAAAACAGATTGCTCTGACATTCTGCAGTTGACAGTTTCTTTCTCTATTAGGTGTTTCTGAATGTAAGCATTTATTTCTTGCATGTAAATTACATTTTTATTAGTGTGAATAAAATGGGGCATTTTTTTTATCTCTCCCAATGTTGTTAGGCTTTTTAATGAGAACATTTTTATAACGTAATTTAGACCTTTTGTTATTATAGAATAAAAACATGAGCAAATTAGATTAAAATATGCAAGGGGTCTGATTTCCCAGCTTGTAGGTTTAGGTTATTTAGAGAAGTTTTAAGGTATTTGTGTGCAATGCATTTTACAGCTTATAAGAAGAAGTAAAGAATTTTTTTTTCCTTTCAAATACTACTTAGAGTTTCAGATAATTATGCTATAGCTACAAATGCAATTTTATAATACCCATGGCCGAAAGCTCCTTATAAAGCTTTTGCTAATAGTGCTCATTAAAGTAGGAGGTAAGCCTGCGTATCTCAAGGTGCAAAACAAAACTGGCTACTACAGTCAAAGCAACAAACTAATTCCAAAAATTTGAAAGCTGTCTTCATTTCAGATTCCTTCCTGAGGAAATTTGAATTGTGTGTAACATAGATTTTCACTCATGGTTGAACACTCCCAGCAAGAAGTGTTAATGTCAGCTGTGGCCTCGCAGTGAATCCATTTTCTTGTCTTTCTGCTGATTTTTCTAACTTGAAAAAGAAGTCAGATACTGTAAGATAATTTAAATCACAAACCTTTGTGCGTACTGTGTAAATTCAGTATTATTATGGGAGGAGGAATATTTCCAGTAGATACCAAAAGGAAAAACATACATGATAGTCAAGTGCCATTTGCGATGGACTGTAGAGGGACTGATGAGGACAACACTTGACACTTGGAAAAGTTTGTGTTTTCTAAGGTATGTGGGATTTCAGTGTGGCTAGGCATAGCAGATCAGAAGGATGCAATGGGAGCTTGTTTCCCTTTTATAGGTCCTTTGATGCTGAAATTCCGTCAAAAACCTTTACAGAAAACTTCAGAACATTAGCCCTTTCTAGTTCAGTCTCGGAGTAAAAGTGCAAATAGTGAAGGTCCATAAACATAGAATTTGCTTCCCCATTTTTAAGTTTCATTAGTTTTTGGAACAGAATATTTCATTTCTATGCCTAAAAGGTGCAATCCTGCCCTCCCCTAGCCCCCAACTCCTTTTCTTTCTTTTTTCCTAGGGAAAATCAACCCCAACTGAGAGGTGGTATCCAGGATAGCAAGTTACTAAATTATACAATATGCCACCAATGGCACTGAGATATTGCTGATGTAAGGACAGTTTAAGGACAGATTGATACCTAATCTGTATAACAAGGTAGCGTTACCTGTGCAGCTATAATCAATTTAATAAATGCTTTAATTCTAGTAGGCAAGTGTTGTGGCTTTATTTTTTGTTTTCTGGTTTGATTCGAACTTCTTTGTGAGTTACCCCTCTTGTACAGAATGGAAATATGATGAGGACTGTTACGACCAAATTGTGTTTGTTTCAGATTGTATCACTCCTAATGCCAAAAAGTTCTGCATATAACGCATCCTGATCTGTACCGGGAGCCACAATGAGGACATCAATGTTTTGCACAACTGTCAGGGCCAAGTCATATAGTTCTGTGTAGCTTAAGAATCTGTTTCATCACATAGCATGGCCAACAGTTAGTAGCATGGGAGAAATGCTTAATCACCACAGCTGGAAAATCTGTAGACCAACACTGGAAATGATAATTTTCAGCAAAAATGTTTCTTTGAGATGGAATTTCATGGCGCATACATAGATCACACAATGTAGGTACCCTAAAATCAGGGGAATGGCAAAGACATGACTGCTTTTATCTCTTCCTTAATCGCTCATCTCAAGGCTGCCCTGCTCTGTCATTTTGTCTGTTTCTGTAGAACGGTTTTGGAAGACTTTTGTCTGTATGCATAATGTAAAAGTTAGGTAAAAACTCAAAAACATTATGTGGGAGAAGATGACAGTGTCCCACTCACTTCTGTATCAGTCTGTTCTTGTGGCAATATTTTGGCAATGTACATACTCTTAGATGCATTGTTTCCAATATTTTCTCTTTTTCATTTGGCTCTGGCATTTTTCAGCTCTTTCCACCATTCTTGTTTTGCTTTGTCTGCTGATTCCTGTTTGTCTTTTTTCCTTTTGGGGAAATCTGAAAGACGAAGTTGTAATCTGGACTGTAAACTAGTCAATTATTCACCTTTATCTGCACTTAAAAAATGTTGTTGTCAGCAGTAATAGGAGGAGGGTAGCTTTCTCAGGAATGCTGTAGAGAGTGATTGAAGATGGAGGTCACTAATCCTAGGGAAGAACAGCCTTTCAAAAAGGGGCCTGAGAAGTAAAAATCTATACCAGTAGTAGTTATATGTAATTGTTGTTATATCTTATATTCAAAATATCTTTCCAGTGGCAGCAGTAGTAACAGTTTGCTTTAATTTTCTTTCAGCAACAAGAACAAGACCCAACTAATTTATACATTTCCAATTTGCCGCTTTCAATGGATGAGCAGGAGCTTGAGAACATGCTGAAACCGTTTGGGCAGGTTATCTCTACAAGGATACTGCGGGACTCGAGTGGGACAAGCCGTGGTGTTGGCTTTGCAAGGTATTTCAGTGGCATTAGCCATGCTGGCAGCTTTCTTCCTTTTTTCTTTAATTGAAAAGACAGGAATAGGAGAAATTACTGAAAATTATCAGTCTTTTAAAGAAAAGTGAGATCTAGATGGAGATACCAGCAGGGTTTTGTTAATTATTCCTTTGGTAAGGCAAATATGGATGTGTCTCATCTTGCTTAGATGATGAAATCTGAATCTATTGCTCTTAATGGACAACTATCTAGAATTAAGAGTTCATTCTCTACTACTTCCTTCTCTTCTCTGTACTTCTCTTTTCTGGTCTATCCCTGAACCAATAAGTAAGAGTTATGCAGTGATTTACAGAGACTTCTTCTGTGACTGTTCTGGCTTTTGAGGCTTGAATTTGAGACAGGAGACTGTAAGGAGGAACCCCTTTCCTCCCACCCCCATCCTTTTTTTTTCCCCTTCATTAGTTACTCTGAGAAAATGAACTCACCATTGCCCTTTGAATGTCAGCTCTTCGAATTTTCTGGCTCATTAACATGTTGTCATCTGAGAAAGAAAATATTTTCGTTCACTTACAGTAAATCTCACCTTAAAATATTTGCCAGCTCGGTCAAATATCTCTCCCAAATCAACAAGAACAAATATTTTCTATAAATTAGTAGATACCTCCCACATATTCTGTCTGTGTGAGCTTACTTTTTCTCTAGTTAACTCAGTTATTTGTTCTGGGGTCTCTTGATCAGAGCCTTTTCTGTGCCTTTCTAGTATTTTTCTCTCTTTTTTTTTTTAAGTCCTGCTTTAAGCATAGCATGACAATCAAAATTTGGAGGCTTTAGTTTGGGTATTTCTATCATCAAATATAGGGGCATTGAGTCTTTTCTCCCTAAACTTGCTTACTAACTGTCTTGAATCAGTGGTATTTTAAGAATGGTTTTATTTTAATATAGCCAGAAGAGTTTTAGAATTGTGTGTCAAAGTCCAAAAGACTTGTGTGTATCCAAAACCTCACTTGTATTAAAGACTTTAAAAGTGATTATAGTATTTTCTCAGTAGGTTCTGTATTATGCATTGGTTTATATATATGTATAAACTTGGTTATTTTTGTACACATATTTATGCACATAAGTTATAGAGTGAGGATTTGCTGTCATAGCTAATGAGAATTTCTCCCCTTCTGCAAGCTAGGTATTGGAATATTTTTGGATAACTACTAGTTCAAGTTAAAATTGTCCCAAGAAACATGTAGTCATTAAGTAAAGATTTTAAGTTCTTGCCTTTGGGAGCATTTTATTAGGTTAATAAGCAGTAATGTATTTTATCAAGTCCAAGCTTGAGTCTGAAGCTGAATTATATTGTTTGTTCCATGGAAGACAAAAAAAAAAACCCCAAAAAACCAAAAAAACAAGTTTGATGCAGATCCAACAATCCAAAACTTGGGAAAATTCCCTAGAAGGTATTTTTGAAACCGTGAGGAAAACTTCTTGCTCAGTCTGGCATTTTGATGATTTTGGTTGCTGTCTGTGACTGTATTTTTGACAGCCTGTGCAGAAGGGCTATCAGAATTAAAATGGTGCAAAACTTCATAATTTTTAGTACTGCTGCTTTGCTGCTGAGGTCATTGGCCTAATTTGTGGAACTGGATTACAGAACTTAACGAACAAATAGAAAGGAATAGCGGTTCAGTATTATCCAAGCATCATCTTGCAGACAGCTGCAAAATATATTCTTCTTTTAAAATAAACTTTGTTACACTTGCGTGTCTCAGTCATCTATTGCAACTTAGTCCAGGCTGGCAGTTAGAACTGACACGTCTACACTGCAGTGCAAGGATGTAGCTGCAGCCTATGGAGCCACTCCCAGATTAGCTCTAGCTCACCAGTAGTCCACCCAGCCTACTAAGTCTAGTTTTCACAACATAAGCACACAAACCTGTTCAGGATCCTGGATGAATTCTTGGTAGCTGTCACACATTTTCTGTTACTGGTACCTATTTTGAAGGTAACTTGGAGACAATTAAATAAGAGACAGATACATCATTTAGTTGGAATGATACCTATAAGGTAAAAACTGCAAAGGCAGTTTGGGTCATGCTGTCAGGCATGTTTATATTTGTGTTTATTACTTTTAAACCATGCACACACTTCAGAATCCTTGGCAAAAGTGGCATTAATGTTTGTTGTATATATCATAGACTCTTAAGGATTCAGCTGTGGGTGATTGTGAATCAGTCTTTGCTTCCTTCAAGACAGCATAGATAATTTGTACTATAGCTGTCTAAGTCATGTTTTGCCTAATTTCTAAGTAAATAAAGGTATTGTATTGGCAGTTTGGCACTGACTTGGGCCTCAGAGTGCATTAAAATGTTAATAGAGTTTAGTTCTCCCTCTCTGAAGTTGTGTATTCTTAGAAGGCATCTTCTCTATTGCTCATACATGGGAAAGCAAGCCACAAAATGAAGCAAGAAAAAGCAAGAAATGTGCTTTAAAAAATCACAAACATGGAAATCTGGATGAGTGTTTAATTTATGCAAATTATTCTTTATTTTCTTAGGATGGAGTCAACAGAAAAATGTGAAGCAGTGATTGCTCATTTTAATGGAAAATTCATAAAGACACCAGCAGGAGTTTCTGGTATGTTGCATATATTTCTAACAAGATGTATGAATGGGTTACAGCTTGTGGAGTGGAAGCCTGATTGTTTATCTGGCTTCTCATTCGGAAACAGACTTATTAAAATTAAACTGTGTCTTGTTGGATGACTGTAATGCTTGCTCACTTGTAACACAGTATATCACTCGTATAAACCTTTTATAGGAATCCAGTAGTGTTCTCTCCTAGCAGAAAGACAAGTGGCTAAGGTGCCTTATAGAATCATAGAATAGTTAGGGTTGGAAAGCCTTAAGCCAGCTATGCACAGCTTTACGTCCTACATTGAAGTCAGGAAACAAGTGTGTGTTGTATGTGTATCAGAACAGAATTTGGCTGATGATCCATGGACAGGTTTGGTGGGGTTTTGTTTGGTTGGTTGTTTTGGGGTTTTATTTTGTTTTGCTTGTCTGTTTTGGGTTGGTGGGGGTTTTTTGTTTGGATTTTCTTGGGTTTGGGTTTTTTTGAGAGGCAAAAAATGGACTACTTTTGCTATCTGTTGATTTTTTGAAGTAATTTTCAATAAAAGATTTGATTAAAAAAGCATAGATTCTGCAGCAGTGACTTAAGGCCAGGCACTTTCATTCTTTGGGAAGCTGTGACTCTCAAGTCTTACACAGTCTTTGAGATTCTTCAGGACGATTGAAGGGCAGGTCAATGAATGCTACTTCTGGAAATGTTGTGCAAGGCAAAATGCAGAGAAGGTACACAGTGCAATTTTTTTTGTCACACTAAGTTCCTCATCAGTTTGTTTGCTTTGTCAGCATTGTTTCTAAGAGACAAAATGTATTCTATAAACATTTAAAAGTGAGGGAAGGAAATTCAGAGCAGCAGAGTAAAACAGAAAGAAAAGAGGACAATAAAGGAGAAAAGAATACATGCCTGACATTCCAGGCAGCTTTCGGTAACCATTTTATTGAGAATCCCAAGTGGGAATTTTACAAATTACATTGTTGATGTGGTTGCTGAAGCTGCCTTTATCCCGCTGGTGAAATGTTCTCTGCAGCCAGACCCTGACACCAAGGAGGAGAGCAGTCCTCGGCAGGCAGACAAGAATGTGGCTTGTTTAGTAAAACTACATACATGCCTCATCCCTGAAAGATTACTCCAGTTCGAGGCAGTCTGTTCTGCAGTGGGGATGGAAAGCTGCTGCAGAGCACAGGAAACCACTCCCTTCACCAACACTAATCTAATGCAGGGTTTTGACTTCCCCGTCTTGGCTTTTGCAGACCGTTTGCATTGGTATTGATTGCTGAGATTCTTTAGGTGAAACTCTTTTATACATAGGGGCTGTAACATTTATTTTGCTGTTTCGTATATTTAGCAGTCTGTGTTTTATGAGATGGAAAATCCCTTTAGGGGCAAAGAGATCATAGAACCATTTTCTCTGAATTCTGACTGTGCTCTGATCCACCCTCTGTGATTAATTTTATAGTGCTGCTATGGCTTTGGACCTAAAATGCGAGTAAGAGGCATAGAGAAACTAAGAATTCAAATTAACATATAGGGGTTTCTTTTCAATCAGAACCAGTAAAAAGAACTGTATCAGAACTCCCTATTAGTGCTTTTTAGCTTGCACATTTTTATTTTCAGTTGTATTATTGTGCTCTCAATGAACACGTTATCAAGCGTGTCGTTGCTACTCATGCTGTCTCTGGTGGGCTGTTGCTGAAGTTGGAGTTGCACCCTTATATAATCAGGTTCAATGGGGTAGAAATAAGTTGCTGCATGGAATTCTAAGTGCACTTTCTGCATTGTGGAGGAAAGTTCAGCAGTAAAGTCTGAATAATTAGGGACAATAAATTTGTACAGAACTGGTGATTGTCAGAAAATGGAAACTAAAGAGGAGTCTGAAGATGTAATCCACCTCATGGACTTTAACTTCTAATGCTTACTTGGCAAAGTATTCACCTAGGCTCTCTTTCTAGAATAGGTAAAGCAGCACACACCTCCAGTGACTGATGTGTCTTCGCTGTCAGCTGTCCTTGTGGTTACAAAGAATTTCTAGATGAGTTGCTCAGAAATAGTTGACTCTCAATGTCTGAAAGTCAGTTGAGATGAGTCACACCTCCATGGTGCTAAAAAGTGCAATAAATAATTAGGTGCATAAGGGTGTTTTGAGAGTCTTGCTTATTAAAGACCATCAATTCTGTTGTATAGGGTACAGCCTCAACTCTGCTTTTCCATGCTGGTGCTGTGAAGTTGAATGGCTTCTTTGAAAGGCTTTTATGGAGTTCAGATTCTTTCTGTAGTTCCTCACCACATCACAAGCATATGTCAAATAATGCAGTCTTTTTAGAGGATGCCGCTTATGCATAATAATATGGTGCAGTTTGCCAGAAAGCAGGGCAGTCATGGGGCATCTGTGGTCTTGGGCTACCTGCAGAGAGAAAAGTGGATATAGTGGGAAAGCTCTTGGACAAAGGTTAGGAAAATGTTTTGAAATAGATTAGCATCCTTCAGGGTTGTAGAGGAGCAAGTTCAAATAAATGCAGAATAAAATCGTAGAACTGGAACTACGTTTAAATTAAAACATTGTGTCCTAGAAACTTGGCTAAGATCAGCAAAGAGAGCTGGCTATAAAAACACTGCTATCAGGATGAGGAGGGTAGGAGAGACTGGCCTGTAATGAGATAGGTGTGGGAGGAAGAACATCTGTTCAACAAAAACAAGCTTTCATAATGTAGCTTTGTTATTTTAATCAAGTTTGGGTTTAAATGGAAGAAGGGGTTAAGCACAGTTATAGGAAGCATAGGTGAAACCTGGAGCATGAGAAGATGGAACAGAAAAGCTCTCTGAGAATCTGAGAGAACAGAGGTAGCATGGGGTGGTCACAAAAGTGTTGACTGTAGAATTGAGAGAGTGACTGGGCATTGATGATACTGAGCAAGCTGAACCCAGATGAACAGGCTATTCAGGCTTTTTATTTCCCTGCTCTATAGTAAGATTAATGAAATACAGTCAATATTTAATATGTCCTCCTTTGTCTTCAGTGAGGAAGAAGGAAGGTTAGTTCAGAGAGCAATTTCAAATGCACTGCAAGTTGGTGTAATCTTAAAACTCCTAGGAGTGGTGTATTAGTTCCACTATTTGTTCTGGTTGGGGTTTGTACTTCCATTATCTAAGTTACTGTAATAGTTTGTTCTGTTTTATGGACTGTGACTTTCTGACCATTTCTCTTAGGACTTTGATTTTTTGTGTTTCATTCTTTTCTCAACTGTATGTTTATTATATGATTGCTATAATCTTGAAATAATTTGCATTTAGTTCTACTTTTCTCTTTAAAGAATTATTTTCAGTGAATAATGTGATATTTAAAGCTTTACTATTCTGTGAAATGTGAAGCTCATGACAAGAATTGGAGGAAACAGAGTAGGCTAGTATAAGGGGGTGGGAGGCAGAAGATGAGTAGTGAGGGCAGAGCAGCATTAATAGCCTCCCTCCCCTAAAGGTGATACTTAAAGATGATACTGTCTTTTTATCTTGTGTTGGTCCCATAATGATGATTTTGCTGGGCAAAATCATGAAAGGCATCTGCTCCCTATCACAGCAGCATGATGATATCTGAGAATAATTATATAAACGATTACATGAAGCAGTTGTGCTGTAGAATACCTAAGGTATTTGTAAGTCTGAGTGTGTTTGGTTTTGTTGCATTTAAAATGAAAAATACAGAAGCTTGAAAGCTACAAAAGTTTTATGCCTGTTGTACAGGCTTTATGGGTTAATTAATACTTCTTTTTCTGAGAAATAACCTGAATAATTTTGTTTTAATGGGTCTAAGGTGGAGGGCATTTTTGATGAGCAGCTCATACCATTTTTGCTTCAGGAATGGTGGGTTATGGTGATGACCCAAAAAGCATAGGTTGTCTGTGAGCCACTCTTCCCACTTACGGTAAAGATATTGGTCACTCAGATTATTATTTTTTTTTTTAGGAGGGTATTTGAAGACAGCTGAGAGAGCCCTGCTTCTGCCTGTTCTCTTGAGTATAGGCTAGGAAGAGGGCCAGCGGGTATGGTGGATACTACTGCTTGAGATTATTCTGTTCCTACTGCAGGAGAGGAGTAAAATGGAGCCTTGAAGTAGTTATTTTGTGGCAGTCATTTTTGAGTGTTCTCTATTTGTTTACCTTTAAAAAGAACACTGCAGATCTCTATATAGCGAATTTAATTTGCTTGACCATAAACTCATATCTCAGTACATTTCACAGATCCTTTAGCAATAATCCGGGAACCATAGACTGAAAACCACTGCTAAAATGTATCAACAGGTCACAGTGCTGGTGTTACTCTTGATTGTCACACTGAAGGCAGAGAAACCAAAATTTTGTACATTAGATCGAAGATGAGAAGCTTTTACTGCTCTAATTCTCATAGTTCATAATTGCTGCTTAGTTTTAAGAAGCAATGTTGGATAAACCCACTAAAAATATGCTCCTGTGACAAATTATTACACTTTGTGTGAATTATTACAGAAATGTGGCCCTGAGCACTGCATTTAAGTGAAGATGAGAATGGTAAAGAGTATATATTTAGTTTCTCTTCAAACATACAAAGCTACTGCGATCTTAGGTTGCACAACTCTTTCATTTTGCACAGCTTCTGGCAACAGGCGTACTAGCTGTACAGGTTTGCTCTAGTATTCAAGCAATGTTTTAATGTTAAAATTCAGTAGACTTACATGCTTTGTCACTGGAAAATAAGAAATGAAAGTCACTAAAAGATGCTATTTAATTGCCAACTTATTAAAACAATAGTATTTTAAGACTCTTTTGTTGTATTTGTTTAATATCTGAAAGCAGGGTTTATTGAAATGTTTGTAAAACTGGTCATGTAAAGCTAAGGGTGTAAATGTAAAGTCCAACATAAAAACATCAATTTTTTTTTTCTTGTATATATGTATCATTATCCCTGCCTGTGGCAGGGGTTGGAACTAGATGATCTTAAGGTCCTTTCCAACCTTAACCATCTTATGATTCTGTGATTGCCTGGTATATATTTGGGTAGACACTGAACAAAGACTGAATTCTGATCTACACATGTGCATGTGTGTATGACAAGACGTATTTACTCTGTGGACAAATACTTCATTCACATCTTTCTTCTGTAAAAAAACCCTAGGAGAGGGTGATTTGGAGCAGGAGGAGATGGTCAGCACTTTCCAAAGACAGGTTTTAAATCACTGACCTGCTGTTAAAGTGCAGGAAAGCTTATGGTTACAGAATGCCTCCATAACAGCACCTCAACAGAAATCTACAAATCATTGAGAGTGTCTGTTGCTTTTCATTGTCAGTAGAGTTGTCATTCTAAATGTGGTGTCTTAGCTGCTTAGCTTAGCTAGAAGTAAGTCCACTCTAAGTTGTGGCCTTTTACATCAGCAGTCTTTTAGTGGTTAATGCAACTCTGAATATTTATACAATGCCTCTCTGTCTTGCACATACAGACAAGTCACTGAATGATTAATGATCCCCTTCATCGCTGAGGCCTGCACACTTCCCAACAATTAAACAATAAAAATGACTCTCCCTTCCTTCCTGGACCACAGAAAAGATTGCTGGCTGGTCTGTAGGACTTGTTGGAGTTTTTTGTGTATATATCTATTATATACGTGTTTGCATGTGCAAGAGAAAGTATGTCACGTATTTGAAAAATAGGAGGGAAGGTAAGCTGAAGAAATAAATTTCAGATTTGAATTTGAAGAAAGTAAGGGCTACACTCATTCTTCGGTGAGAGGGAGATCAACAGGTCATACTTGGCTCCCATGAAGGTTTATCTCCTTCTCACGACCCTCCCTCTGATGACCATCAGTCATTGTGTTCTGAAAGCAATGAACGCAGTAGTACTCAGGTCACATGTATCAAAGAGCAGCCAAAGACTGGGAGTTAGTTGCAGCAGTTCCTACTATCAGCATTCAGATCTTGAACTGGAATCAGGGAAGGCAAATTCTATAGAGCCTTTTCACAGCAGTTGGCTGTATTAAATAGACGGTCTTCATGGGTTTTTTTTGGAGGGAAGTTGTTTGATTGGTTGTGGTTTTTAACATGAGTTGGAGCTCTTGCGTTTGGCTTGATTTATGGACATAGTGAGGACCAAGAGAAGCTGGAAGATAAGAAAAACAGGGGTTCCCATGATCAGATCTGTTCTCAGTAAGATGGAGCACTAACTCCAGGCAAATCACAGATGAATGCCTTTTTAATATTTTTGTCATTGCTGCAGGTTTTTGCGTATGCAAAATCCAATACATGTGGATAATTCTTACTCCGTTTTTTCTTCCTTTTTAAATTTATCAAGAGAGTGTTTACAGAGGACAATAGAAGATGTTTCAACATTTAAAATTTAGCTGGTTTCAGTTATTGACTCAGCAAAAAAAAAATTCTTAAAATATTTTTCTGTGAACATTTTATTCTAACTGTTCGAAAAGGTTTACTCTGACTTCTAAGAACAACTGCCTTTGTCTTGAGACAGTGATGGGAAATTTAAGCACAAATAATGTTTTCAAGAAAAGTTTTATCCAATTCACTGTAGTGATTTTTCATGAAAGCATAATGCAACTTTGAATGAAGTATTTACTACCTGTGAGTGCTATAATACAGAATCACAGGGCTAGAAACCTTTAGGTGTTTTCTGACGTCTTTATAAGCCATTCTCATGTCAGTTTCTTTTAACTTCATCCAGTAATTTATAGTGTGTATTTTGGAAGTCACTCATGCTTCCCATAATGCTGGTAGGTTTGAAATAATTTACAAGTAGCCAGAGATGCTCAGTTTGGGGAAGACTTTTTTCATTTAAGGCAGTTAACTTCAGTATTAGATCTCAGCTCTCCCTTTCTGACGGATGGGGTTTTTTTCCATTGTGTAAAATGGAGAGTCAAAACAATTTCAGACCAGACCATGACAGTTCTGCCCCTATTGACTAACATCTGAAATTATCTCCTCTTACTTCAACAGAATTGTATGTGGTTTAAAATGCTGTGTGATATGACCAAGGTTTTTAGGATCTGGCTTCTATAAAGTAATGTCAAATTATGCGTCAGCATATTGATATGGTACCTTTTCCCCAGTAGAACCAGAGCTAGTGCTTCAGGTATGCCATCTGGAGCCAGGGATGACTTGGCCATTAGTGCTGGTTTTGTGCCAAAATCGTAAAAGTCAAGCTCTTTGCCAGGTTACAAGTCTGAGGTTTTCAGTCATCTCTTGTAAGTGCATGCAGAATGAAGAGCACATCAGCTCTTTTTGTTTCACGATACAGATATATTAATTTTTTTCTTGGGGGTTTTCTTTTGTGGGTGGCCCTCCCACCGCATGTGTTTACTCTGCATTTGGGAGCTTACATGTTTTCAGATCCAGCTGTGTCTTATGAAGGTGTTTCCAAACAGAGAATGACTGGAGGAGTGTCACGGTGAAGCTTAGACAGCTCATGCATCAGGAATTACTGGCAGAGTAGCACTCACATCCAAGTCATAACAGAGCTTCCACCCTGTTATTAGGGAGGGTGTGGTGTGATGTAGCAGAGCTGTGCTTCAGCTATAGGTAGTCAGAAACTATTGCAGTTTAAGCTAGTAACAGGGAGATAATACTGTGCAAAGTTTTCTTTTTCTTTAATTTTGATGTTATAAATTGAAATCACTGTCAGGCTTATCTTACGAAAAAGAAAAGGTGATAGATAGCATTTCGAGACAGTATGGACAAAAGCCTTGAAGAATTTCTGGTTTATTGCATGCTCTTTATAGAGCAGAGGTAAAAAGGGAATGGACAGTTGTGGCATTTTTTCAGTGCAAGGTGGCAGAAGATAAAGGTGCCTGCTCCACCCTGCTGGTTAGAGTATGTGGAGATACATTTGGCTATTCTAGATGAGCAGAGCAATTTAAGTTTTGGGACCTTACTGAAACCTCCAAGGGGTGGGGTGGAGAATATATTAAAGACCTTTGGCAAGATTTATTCTCCACCCTCCTTAGATGTACCTCCTAAGAGGCAAAGCTCTGAGTTCAGGTGGTAGTTCTCATTCATTCCCAGACCAACAGCTGTATGCTCAGGATGTATAGATCATGTTTCTTTCCAACAGGTTTTAAAGCAGGAGTTTTAAATCAAAGATATAAGGCATTCCAGATGCTCTCTTTGTGTGTGGCAGCTGTCTTTGTGCTATGCAGAATAGTTGATTCTGTGGTATGAGTCCATGTTATTTAACTGTCATATTGGGAATATAACTTAAAAACCATGCCTCATTTGAAGCACTGAATGTCTATGTAGGAACACTGCTTCAACTGATACTCCTTCTTCTCAGTTCCTGCAGAACCTTTATTGTGCAAGTTTGCGGATGGAGGACAGAAAAAGAGACAGAATCAGAATAAATATATACAGAATGGAAGAGCATGGCACAGAGAAGGCGAGGTGAGACTTGTAAGTCCTCCCTTCAAGCTTTAGTGTGGGTGTACAATAATGAATACTTATGAAAATGATAGGCATTGAGACTTCTTGGCTTGGCTCTGTGGTGTATTAAAAATGTGCAAGCAATTCTTACCTGACAGCTTGCAGCTTTATAAAATACTGTATTTTTCTTAAGAGGAAAAAAGGCAAAATGTGAAACACTAAATCCTATCCAATTGAAGTGAACAATAAAATCTCCTTCAACTTGGTCAGGAATATGCGGAGATATTTCTCAAATAAAACTACCTGAGACATAACTTTATTTACATGTGGTAAACAGTCCTTTGATTTATGCATCATTGAAATGTACATCACTTTCATAAGATTAAAATAGTATACCAGTGCAGTCCAGCAGTAATTTTTTTTTTTAATCACAACTCTTTTCATCTTTAATGTTCAAGATAATAGTTCCATACGCTTACTGTGGTTAGCAAGCCTAGACACCTCATTTATATGAGACAGAAAAATTCAAATGTGTCTTCTGAAAAACAGCACTCCCCATTCATTCTTCTAGTTAATATATTGTAGGCAACACCCTCACATAATCATCTTCATGCCCTGCCTCTCAAATGCACACATTTTCTCCTAGCCAGGTATTTCATAGATTGCATTTTGTTCCTCATGCTGGGAACTTGGAAACTTTTATTCATAGCCAATATTGCTGACTATCTTCACTGTATAATTACTTTTGTCTGTTGACCTTTCCCTAACTTATAGTAATAAACTATTTCAATACAAATTTTCAATTAAAAAATGCAACTAAAGAGAGAGTAAGAGAGAAGCTTTCAATAAAAATTAACTTTGTCAACTCTTTTTTTCCACTTTTTCTTTTCTTTATTAAAGGCTGGAATGACACTCACATATGATCCAACCACAGCTGCTTTACAAAATGGGTATGTTAAATACTGGTACACTTAAGAAAACAAAAAGTCTGCATTATGAAAGATGCACAGAACTGGCATTTAATTAATATTTCTTAATTTTCTAGATTTTATCCATCACCCTACAGTATTACAGCAAACAGAATGATCACTCAGACATCTATTACGCCATATATCGCTTCTCCGGTTTCCACATACCAGGTTTGTATTTGGAACTTAGTAGCTGAAATGGTTCATTGGAGCTTCTGTTTATTTATCAATTGCTACATCTGGTTTCATGAGTTCTCCAGTAATGCTTCATTTTGATGAAGGGGGTTCTTTATGCTGAACAGCATGATAAAAATCGCCTTAAAAACTGTGTGTTTGTTTCAGGAAGCACAGCAGTAGAATGAGATACATGGTGTTTCGCAAAACAAAGTCACTGACTTGTGCCAATAGCCAAGATATTTGTAGCCACTTCTGCTTTTCATGCATGATTTTTCATTTTTTCTTGGTCAAGTTCCTTTAATGTCAGTAATCCATCTTTAAAGTAATTATTCTTTACTTAAAACTCCTTGATTTAGTTAAATTCTCTTTCAGAGATATTTCTCCATGCTTTTTGAACTTTTCTCCAGGTTTTTGTCAGTGCAAAAAAAAGGCCCAACAATAATGTATTACGTGGTTGTAATGAGTAAAGGGTGCAGACATTTGCTAGACAGTAGAGAAGGAAATCTGAAAAAGAGTTCAGAGCACAAATTGCATTAGCATTCAAATTCAGTGATTTTATACTAGGACTAAAGCATTTAATAGCATAGAACAGTATTTCTAACCCAAAAGTTACTTTATTTTGAACAGTGATTTAAAACATGAACCATGCACATTTTTTGCTCCTGGGGATTGGTCCAAAGCTTCCTGGGAAGGTATTTTGATAGATGGCATCTTGAGTCCCTACTAGGGGATATTGACAAACAGTTCAACATGTTGGGAAATTATGTGGAACGGTTGGATACAGTCCTAAGAATGCTCGTTTTAGGACATCATACATTTCAGTTTACAAATAACTTGTGTTTAATGCAACCGGTATGGCAATCTCAGACATATGCTCTGTAATTACTACTTGAGATATGCCGGTTATTCCAGTATAATGTAAATAATCAGCTTTTTTGGCATTTTACGGTTTAACACATAGACAAAGTAAAAATCCGTGAATCAGGCGATTAAATCACCAAAACTGATTAAATTTAGGAAATCCTTACCTCTCTATGTCAGGGGAAGGAGAAGAGGCTGTTTGTTTTTTAGTGAGAGAGATGTGCTAAGTTTTCTAGGTTTGGGTGAAAATTAATGTAGAAGGCTGACAGAGGCACTGTGGGCCATTTGGTCAGTGTTCCCTTGCAGGTATTTCCATTCCATTCCAAGTGAGAAGAGGAAGAATTGTCTAGTATTAATTAGTCTGGAGGTCTAGTGCCTTCTTGCGTGAGCAGAGTGTTAGGTAGGAATGAAAACAGTGTACTCTGGGGTAAAGGGCTGAATTAACTTTATATTAATTTCTGAGGTGACTTATGCAACACAGTATTTACTCTTGGCAGACAGTGCCAGTATATTGAATCATTCTGCTTTGTACAGCAATACCTCAAAAATTACAGCAAGTTCTTACCCAGAAAAAATATTCAGGTAGAATTATCTGCTGTTCTTTATTAAAATATAAATTATTTCTCAACATAAGATTCTCAGATATTCATAATCCAAGTAAAAGTTGGAAGTTGGCTTGGAAACGTACTTAGGAGTATAGTCTCACTTTCCTGGGCTTAAGAGATAGGCAGACCACAATAGTGTATGTTTGCAGGAATGTTGTTAGCATTATTTAAATAGACATGTTGTGGAGCTTGAATTACTGTAGATGGAGTTATTAACAACATTATGCTTGAAGTGCTACAGTAAAAGGAATTGAGAATTAACTGAAGTATTCTGTACTGGGGAGGGAGGAGGTTCTTGGCCAGAAAAGTTTCACAATTTGAGCATTAGTCACATCTTTGTTACTGAACCCTTCTCACTGAAACCTGCAACATTCTGTCATCTACAGAACAGGATGTATCATACAAGCATGATTTATTATTTTTTTTTTCTTTGAGGCATGGTATAACCTATTCCTGGATTTATTCTTATTAAAGGTGAACAAATTTAATAAAGCTTTGGCCATTGTTTGTTTCTGCAACTCCTGTATACCCAAATGACAGTAGTAAGCCAGGTACTATCATAGTATGATTAGATCAGCCAAAGCTTTAGTCAGGCTGTACCAGTATTTTTGCTATTAAGCTCTTGCCTGAGGAAAGGGAGGGTTCAGGTGTTTTCCATTTTTGAACTTCTGTTTGCTCTTCTTCTGTTTGAAAAAGTAAAAGTATTACTCAGATTTGAAAGTCAGTAGCAAAAGGAGGGAAGAAATATTTACTTCTTGTAGAAAATACCTCACCTGGATTTTTTTCCGGACTGTCTACCTGTCCTGTCCCAGAATCCTGAGAATGATGGTAGAGGCTTTTAAGGGGCTTTAAATGTCTGGCAACAGTGGTGAGTTAGTTCTGCATGTGTAGTACAGGTCAGAATCCTGACTTATCCTACACACCTGCAGGAGATGGGGAGGAAACATTCTAATACCTACCTTTAAATATTTCTTGGAGCATACTTTTTCAAAGAGCTATTGCAATCAGCTGGGTTTTGGGTTTTTTTTTATTTTTAACTAAGATAACCATGAAACCTATTAGTTTACCTTTTAATCTTTTTACTTTACCTTTTCATGCAAAGTTAGGCATGCTATCCCAATCTAAGGATTTACGTAGTCAGTGATTGCAGAGAGAAAACATGCTAGCTTCAAGAGCAGGGAAGCTCATCAGAACCTTCTCCTCTTCCTGTTCATACTGCAGTGTTTTTGGAGAATGAATCTCCTAAATCTTGTCCTTGTTCCTGGAATAAGAGTCCAGCAGAATTCCTGTTTTCTTTTTCTCTTTTGAAAATCCAATAGTTTATTAGAAAGCAAATAATTCTGTGACTTCTGAGGTCCCAGCTACTTTTCCTCAAAGGGATTTCAAAGACGGTCCTTTTTTAACACATCACAATTTTCTCATGGATCTGTCTGAACCCTTTCAGTGTACTTGATAAAGCTTTTGAGACCTGCACTTAAAACAGTGTAGTGTTCTGAAAGGTGCATGTGGTATATTGTCTCCAAATCTTGTTTCTGATGTACAGGTAGTTTTCATAGATATCATTGTTGCTCCACAGAATGACTGTATTAAGAAGTGAATAAATAAGGGAGGGGGCTTGTTAACATTATTTGCTAAACTACTACTGTATCTCAGTTGGAGGATTCAGGAAAAGAATGACTAAAATGGAAAATACTGCTTTTGTTCTAGGTTCAGAGTCCTTCTTGGATGCAGCCTCAACCATATATAATGCAGCACCCAGTAAGTCTCTATGCTTCTTTATTGCTGTTTACTGTTTGTATAAACGCTTTGCATACTTCTTTAAACAACAGGAAATAGATCAATTCCCACTCAATTACTTCCAGACAATTACATCATGACAATTACATCATGACTAAATAATGGATTCAAATAAAAAGAGAAACAATGATAGTAACCTGAACTGGGGCTTCGTTAGGAAAAAAAGAAAGCTTCCTTCAGGGTATCAAAGTGATGAGAACAATCAGAGTTACCAAGTCAGCATCCTGAGGAAACTTTTTTTATTAAATGAAAAGCACTTTGCAAATACCATTGTTTTACATACTGTTTACCTATCAGGAGCTGGAATTGAAGACCCAAGGTTTTAAAATGGGTCTGGAGTAGTTCAGACTGGATAATTAGTGAAAGACAGATGGATGTAGTGATATAGATGACATTATGGGCACCCACTTAAGAAAACCTGCATAGCTGGTTCTGGCTTCCCCGCTCATGAGTAATGCTGGTCTCCCTACACTTTTGGCTGTGGCATCTGTACCAGACTGTCAAGCATTCTAATCTATACTCTCCCATGATATTTTGCTTCTTATCTATGTCATTTGCCAATTAAGTACCATAATATCTGAGACTTAGTGGGTTTCTTGAGATGAGTATTACAAATAATAACAGGAGCTTTAATATATGCCCTCCTGTAGTTAGCAAACAAGTCTGTTTCCAGATATAGAAAGGATATTGTCTTGACTTTAATTAACCTCTCCATGCAGATTATAGAATGTAAATCTTCTTGGCAGAACATTTTCTTCTTATGCATGCAGAGAAGGTGATACTTAACCAGAACACCCTCTCGCAAGCTTAATTGTTGTATTTGTGTTTTTTGATGCTAAACACACATGCACACAACAGGTTTTAACTTTTTTGTCAACACAGATTTTCTGAAAAACAAAATCTTGCACACCATGCTGTGAAATACACAAGTTGATAAATTATAATGCTGTAAGGTGCATTAGTTTCACAGGTATACAAAATGAGATTTCACAGTTGAAAATGAAGATCTAGATTCCTGACTTTAAGTTCAGTTTTGGCCTGTGCAAAGACTGGTGCTGTCTTGCTCATTTGCTTTGCAGAGAAGCCTGCAGTCTACAGACAGGAAATTCTTTTAGTGTTTGATGTGCCTGTGACTCATTTAATCTACACTGATCACATGGTTGTTTTTCCAACTATACTCTGTACGGGTGTTTTTTCTTTTCTTTTTTTTTCTTTTTGTTGTTTTCAAGGATTAGTTATTGAATCAGAGTGCTGTCTTTCAGTACACTGCATTTATTTCTGTTAGTTTTGAGCCTCCATTAGTCTTAATCAACACTTTTGCAAGCATAAGTCATACAAAGTATTTGGAAATATCTTTTTGTAGAGCATGGTTCGTAAAATGAAATTTGTTGATAATCCTCCATTTCAGATAACTCTGGAAACTTTACAAGTGTGTCCTCCATATTTAGCAATCTCAAGTGTTTAAAAATTCGGCATGTACTTTTGATGAAGTTAACAAAATGGTATAGGAGTGATAGAGATCATCACAGCAGCTAGTATTTAGACAGAGTCAGTGTTGCTAACCTGCTCTTCCAGAATGTGTGTTCTACTGAATCCAGCCATTAAGTGGGCAGCTGTCTTGTATGTGAACTTCACATTTGACAGGTAGAATTTTCCTAATACAAATGTTCCTCCAAAGCCTTCATTCCTAAAGATGAGATAAGAATTTCTTCCTAAAGCCTGAAATTGCAAAGCTTAACCTGAGTGAATCTGTGGCAGCATGTGTAGATTTTTGCTGTAAAGTTAGCATCTGGTTAAACTCATGTTTTACAAAGTGTTTTCAGCAGGTGTCTCAAGCTCATTGTACTTCAGTTGTGCGTTCAATAGGAAGTCAATGTAGTTGTTAACCCATTCCCAAACCATACAAAACACATCTGCTGAAGTAGAATATTCAGAATGCCCCAGACCTACTCCCTGAGTCAGTGTCTCGGTCTAAGGAGGGTTCTTGTGGTATATCACATCGGAAGGACTTAGACTTTCAAATGCAAAATGTAATTAAAATCCCAGTGTTGCCACAACCGTTTCCTTCTTTCTCTGTTTTTTAATAGGGCGCTGTACTGACTCCCTCCATGGACCACACCATGTCACTACAGCCTGCATCGATGATAAGCCCTCTGACACAGCAGATGAGTCATCTTTCATTAGGCAGTACTGGAACAGTATGTAGCAATTGAAGCAAACTAGAACTTACACAAGTAGAAAATACTGCATGTAGATCACAGTAGGCATGTTCAGCCTGCATATAGGGAAAAATAGTCCTTCAGTCTTTCATCCAGTAAAATATTAATAACTGCTTCCATTTTTAAATCTTATTCAGCTCTTTTTTTGTCAGTCTATTACTTGATCAGAAATTGGAAATTAATAAATAAAAATAGATCAAACCAAATGAAAAGAACTTGGGAGACAGCTCCAAAGTTGTATTGGAAAGGGAAAAATAGTTGTTTTACTCTTCAGGAGAAATGATGATGATTTGGATTAACAGAGAAAGAAAAGTCCTTCACACAGTATTTGAAGTCTAAATCTGAGTTTTCTTGAAACAGGTATCTCGTTTTCCTGAAAAGCCTGTTAATGTCAAACACAAAAGTCTTTTTCTCATGTATATTACTTTAGGGAAACAGTTAATAGCTGTTAAACAATAGCATGATAGATATTTTGAGTACTCTTATTTACATTGAACTTGAACTCAACTTAATAGACTCCCTGTCTTTTTAGTACATGCCAGCCACAACAGCTATGCAAGGAGCCTACATACCCCAATATACACATGTCCAGACAGCAGCAGTTCCTGTTGAGGTCAGTATGTTTTATAAAAGACCAGAGGTGAGAGACATGAATATGATACTAGGTTTGGGGGGTTTTGTTTTGTTATATTCCTAGAAAACTTGATTTTTAAAGCCTAACATTGTAACTGTGAGTGCACTGTGAATGCACTGTATATTAAAGTTATAAAATATCATTATTCTTTACTAATATAAATAGTAGTATAACAAAGAATGACCTGTACTTGTAGCAGTACAGTACTTGAAGCAGTATTCCATATGAGCATAACTGAGATGAACTTTATGGGTTTTGAAGCCTAACTTCCAATAGGAAAACTTCAGGGTATGTTGTAGTTTTGTTTCTTTCATTTAGTTTTCCTGTGAGCAAACTTCTCTGCTAACAGACCATGACTGTAACTTTCAGCAAAGAATCCTGATTTTTACCCTGGCATCTCAGGATACTTGTTTATTAGGCTATTTGCCTAAAAAACTCCTCTGCAAGTCCAGTTGAAAAGCATAACTAAATGGTACACAATAGTTTGTCTACTATATCTTACACCCTTTCATAGGTCAGCACTTCTTTAACAGAGGAGCAGTTATACTGCAGCTCTTGTATTCGGAATGAGTGCTGGATAGTCTATTCCAGAGCCTGTAAGGCAAAACATTTTATTTCAAAGTCTGTTTGCCCAGAAACTCTAGAAATTGTTTGGTTCAGTTTATTCATTTACCCACATGCAGGTAAGAGCTTTCGGTAATAGCTGGTAGCACTGTCTGCCAGAGCGTTATCAGCTGAATTAATTCCCTGGTTTCTTGGGGGTCTGTGTGCAAAGTCCCAGCTACAGTTCTTTGTGTTCCCTAGTGCCAGTCGCACCACAGTACTTAAAGCAATAGTGTTTGTACCTGTGGTAAGTAGATACTCTTCTCACCCTCAAAAGGAGAGGGGCAGAATGATCTTTAGCATTTTCAGGTAGAAAATGTACTGGTAGTTATTTACTTGCTCTGTGTATTTATTTTTATAATGTTAAAAGTTTGTGGTTTATTTTAGTTACCAAGGCAGCTGGGGTAACATGACGTTTGCTTGATCATTTTATTTCCGTTTGCTGAAATGGAAATCAATGCAAAATTAACATCTCCAGTTTGGAATACCCCACTTGAGAAAAATTAGAAAGACTTTAGCTATTTGAAGACTGCTAATTGCATGAGTCACATCAAAATACATATTGCAGCTAATGCTGCCTGATTTTGTCTCATGTCTTGTCTTCCTTTTTATTTGCAGGAAGCCAGTGGTCAGCAACAAGTTACAGTAGAGACGTCCAGTGATCATTCTCCATATACGTATCAGCAAAATAAGTAACTGTGAGGTAGGGGTTCATCCTGTCACATGAAAGATGTGAATTCAGAGATACTTTATTTCATAACCTACAGTGCTCTGTATTGAATTTTAATTCTTTCTTCAATGTCATATAAATAACATTGATAAATCTGAGGACAGGCAGTGAGGTTAATTTGAACTTGGCCAAAGTTAGAAGCCAGGAAAGAAAGCACAGGTTCTAGAAGTGAGTTAATGAATTATGAGTAATAGAGTTTTAATAATTTTCTATAGCATAACTGGATTATGTTGGATTTTAATTTGTTCATCTTGGCAGTGTGCTATATACAAGAATAACAATGAATTAGTGCAAAACTATGAGAATCACAATGAGAAAGGGAACTGTATTTGCACTTAAAATATCCTCTAGTTCTGTGGTATGTGTAAGATTTGGAAGCGGCATTGTGACAGACTTACAGACCACAGGCACGGAGTTAGTCTGGTAGAAATCCTTGCTTGACCTTTTTTCCTGCAGACTTCCCCGTTCATCCTTTACTCTAGCAAAAAGCAGTTTGATCCAAAATTTTGACAGTTGTTTTTTAATCCACATCCTTGTTTGGCTCCAACTCCAGAGTTTCACTTTCCTACTCCAGTTTTGCATGGCCTTTACTAACCAATAATTAACTTAACATGAACTCCTTCAGTGCAAAATTTTTGCTTTCTGTAGATTGCCAGTGTGTGAAAGTATTGTTTGCACTAACTATTCCCTTCTGCATCCCCCATGTTTTGAAATTCTGGAATTTAATTCTTTCTTAACTCATCTTTTTTCTGAGTGCTTTGTAAACCAGGCAGCTTGAATACAAAATCATTTTAATCAAATTTCGAAGACCTCATAGTGAAAAATTCTGTTCTGTTGCAATAATGTTCCAGAGGCTGTTAAGAACGGGGTTCTGCAGCTTTCGCAGCATTTGTTATATACTAAAAAATGATAATCAGTTATGTGTGAAGAATTTCCAATTGTGTGATATTCTCCCTAAAATATATAAATCTAACAATACACACATTTTGGCATTACCTTGGATTTTGCAGGTCAGATGTGCTGTTTGACAACAATGCTCTCATTCCCATTTTTGGCAGAGCAACTTCTTACATGTTCAAGAATGTAAAGATAGAAACAAACCAATGAGAAAACTTCGCACATTCAACAGAAGGCACCAGTCTGCACAGTGCAACGCATGACCTGTGTTTATTATTGTAGTCTAGCCAAATGCTGGTATCTAGAGAAAGCCCATATCCTTGATTTGCTTCCAGGGCAGGGAGAAAACAAAGCCACAGACTCTTCCCGTTATCCATCGCCTGGTGTTAAAATCATGGCTCCTGCATGTTTCTGATGCCAAGGCTGTTGGCTGGTGTTAGCTGCTTTTCAATGAATTATTTGTTTTGCCTTAAGTCTTCCCTGTGGGCATGTAAAACCTCCTTACCAGTAGAGATCTGTGGTAGATGATGAAGTGTAATCCTGCATGTCATCTCCCCATCCCGCCTCTCTCTCCCAGTCTGTCAGTGTCTTTCCCATAGACTGGGACCAGGCAAGAGTCTCCTGAAAGGATGAGGTGTGTTCCCGTCTGAGACACATTTTATAATTCCAACTGTGTAGAGTACTGAGCTCTGTGAGCAACCCTGTTCATTTGCTGTAAGCCAATCCTCCATATATTTTATTCTTAAGGGAAGTACTTTTATCTGTATTTATATGCAGTGAAAGCCGGAGGAATCTATGTCAGCAGTGGCTATGGCAGTGAGCACGTGGGGAAGGTTAATATTACTCAGCTAATTTCAGCCTCAGAGTATGGCATTTGATATTTCTGTCCCTGGAACATGTTGGTACTTGTCGGTTTTTGGACAGGTGAAGGGGAGGGAATTGAGAGTTATTTCTTGCCCTAAATACACTGCAGTCTCTTAATTGTTGTGGCTTTGTTACTGTTGTCAAACTGAAACTTCAGTCTAAATGTACATGCAGCACCTTTGGGAGCGTCCTATTAAAAGTCAATATGCATACTGCCATAAACAAGGAGTAAATGACAACTAGCATATTGGCACAAGTAGATGCAGTCAATCAAAGATACATAGTGTCTTTCCTTTGTCAGCTACATTTAACCACTTTATAGCTTCTTTTCAGAAAGTTGCCATGTGAAAATAGTCAAAGGGACTTGAGAGGAAAAACATGCTATAATTATATATACACCTGTAAATGTACAAGCCTTAAAATAGCAGACTTTGTTTTGGGTTGAGAAATTCAACAATTGACTAAAACCTTTTTCATTAGCAATGTATTTTTTTTTTAATCCATATGGCAGTATAAGCCAGTGCAGTAAATTGAGAAGTCTTTCTTCAAGTTTAATAGGCCCTGAGTTGCCGTTAAGTATTAGCAGTGATGGAGGCACAGTAGCTGTCTCTGCATTAGCTGTTGTACATAGCCTCCCTGAGGCTGCGCCAAAAGAAAGTTGTGTTCTTTTTCCAGACATCAAAAGCCTTGGAGATGCCACGGGAGTAAGCTCACGCACTCAAGCACTTTTGGTCAATTAAAAGGAAACAACAATAACAAAACAACAAAGAAGGGAATAGCTTTGAATGCAGTCTCAGGGTTCCCCAGTGGGAACTCCGCATGCTGAACAGGTATTGGAGATAAGAGGGGGGAAAGTACAATACAGGCTGTGTCCTGGCAGAGATATCCCTTGTCCTGGGAAGGGCCAAGCACCTGTATTGCCACCTGTGTTACTTCTCAAATTTATACTTGGATTCACTTACTCTTCTCACAGCTCTCTAAAATAGGAAATTATTTAGTTTTGTCAACAGCTACATTAGAAAAAAAGGATGCAATTGTATCTCTGCTCTAGCTCTCACCTTTCTGTGTTGCAGATGTCCAGTGTTGACCTGGCCTGGAGAAGGGTGCAAAGGCTGAAACAATCATGGATTTTACTGATCAATTGTGCTTTAGGAATTATTGACAGTTTTGCACAGGTTCTTGAAAATGTTATTTATAATGAAATCAACTAAAACTATTTTTGCTATAAGTTCTATAAGGTGCATAAGAAAAACCTTAAATTCATCTAGTAGCTGTTCCCATGAACAGGTTTATTTTAGTAAAAAAAAATTTTTATCAAGTGTTATGACGCAAAAAAAAAAAGTTGAATTTCTGGGTATGCACAGATGACCACGAAGACTTATTCATGTGCATGACAGAATTTGTGTTTTGGTTTCTTTTTATTTTGTTGGTTTCTTTTTTTTTTATTTCTTTCTTTTTTATTTCCCTTTTTTTTTTTTGTAATTGTATGAAATGGGTTTTCTCAAGTTTAAAATAGTAAAACATCTAAGACGATGTTCTGTGCTTGCAGTGTGTGAGTGTTGCTTTAGTGCAGTGTTGCAATTATAGTGTCTGGTCTTTTAGCTTTCTGTTTTTCTTTTAATGTAGTGTGAAGTGTCTTATCCTTTTCTATAAATTCCAATTTGCCTTAAATCTTTCAATGCTGTAGCTGTTTCAGTAAGTAGTCCAAACTAATGGTGTAGAATGCTTTGACCAAATGAGCTGGTCTATTATGCCTTGTAAAACAGCAGCATAGGGCTTTTAAAGGTAGTCAATAAAAATTGCTGAAAATTTGGCTTTTTTAATGTGTAGTAAGTGTTTTTAATGATTTTTCACATAATATGTAAGGTAGTGAAACGCAAGAGGGAAAAAAATGTTTTGTGTGAAACACATTTTCTGACTGGGGAAATTTTAATAGGATAAATTGTTTGTAAGGCCATATGCCAATAGTTCCCTCTGGTAGTTTGAATGATTTAGGAACTCTGCTGTATGATGCAATGTAAAATCTTTTTTTGCCTTTTTTCAGAAACTAACTTGATGTTCTAGTTTTAGCATAGGTAGAGTAGGGAGTTTGGGGTGGAGATATCACCGAATGTTTTTGTCCTTCCTTTATACTAATGATAGTGCTTTAGGATGAGGATTGTGCTGAGACTTAGCAAACAGAAAAGTTGCTATTACAGCAAAATGGCAAAAGCTAAAGGACTTGTTTTCAAACATACGCTGAGATGTAAGTAGAAGCATAATTGATTGGATACTAGCTCTCTATAGTAGGTAAATAAAAATAAAAAGACTTGGCACTTTTAAAAGGTAACTTTACCAAAGAACAAAGAGCCAGTAACCAATAATTCTGATTTGTCTCAGCATTACGTCTTCTGTACTCTTTATTTTTGCCGGACCAGTTTGCGGTTAGGAGAATGTGCCTTTTTTGTACATTTGCATTTAGGTTTTATAATTTTAATTGACGTATGGACACAAAAGCATGAAGGAAGACTTGGATCCAAGCAGTGCCACACTTTACATCATCACTACAAGTGTTAAGTGTAAAGAAAACCGATTTTGAAACTATGAAATTCCTGATTCATAAATACACAGTTATTTGTACTTCACATATTAGATAATTCACTGCTACTAAAGCTCTTTATTACAATTGCATATGTTTTAAATCGAATGATAAATTAAGTTGTCTTCCAAAACTGTGTACTTCTCTGGTCAGCTGTATATGATCAGTTATCTACCTCAAAGTTTATTTCCTTTTGTATTGGGACAGGTTGCTGGCCCTCCCTGTTTCCACAGACCAAATCATCCTAGCTCGGGAGCTAGGGCTAAGCAGTTGTTTCTTTCAAGTATTTTTTAGTTTTTAAATTTTGTGTGAGTATTGGAGTATAGATGTCGGTGACATTTCATAGTTTCAAAAGTAAATTGCTGCTCTGAGAAGTGTAGATTCTAGTGAAATACATAGTCATAAGAGATGTGTTTTTGTTTTTTCTTTTTTTAAGAAGTTGTGGTATTATTGGTTCTATGCTCCCTGGAATATTACTGCTTTGTAAAAGTCCAGACTTCCTGCAGCACCTTGCCTGTATCTGGTAACTTTCCAAACCTGGATCTCTCACTACTTGATATTTTTGCGTTAATTAAAACTGCAGTATGATAGCTGTGTTAGAGGGAGGGAAGAGCTGCTGCCAGAAATGTCTGAACTAAGTGCCATACTCATTGTCTGGGTAAGATTTGGGAAATTTAACCTCTGTACATAAAGAAATAATCAGTTACTTAAACATCACATAGTAGACAGCCATTAAATTATAAAAAATTAATTTATGAAGAAAGACCTTTTGTACAGATTGAAAAAAAAAAAAAGATTTTCATAGAGATATCTATATGATCAAGAGAGTTAATTTTTTATTTTTGTTTTACTAGTGCCACAAACTTGCCAGTGGTAACTTATTTGTCCGGTTCAAGATAACTCTGTAGTTTTGTTTCCTAGGACTTGTTGTTAAACGCCAAAAGACATTTTTGAACTGTAAATTTGATTAGATTGTTAGCTTTTTTCTGTTTTATTTCTTTGAAAACTTTTGAATAAAAAAGATCCAAAAAAATGAAAATCCATTGTCTTTTTCCTTCAGCCTTTCCTTTATTGGGGGAAAACCCAACAGGTTGTGGTAAAACCTTGGTGTTCATTTTGAAGTGCTTGGAGTAGCTTTCTGCTTTACAGTCTGGGTCTTTCCCTCCTGCCTTTTGGTAAAAGCAAATTTTAACTCTTTCAGACCACATTCAAGTCACTTATTCTTTCAGGCAAGACAGGAAAAGATTTAGGAAAAACATATGATGAGATATCTGGTTTGAATGCAAGAACTCTGTTGCCCTCTGTCTCAGCCTGCACAGAGAGTTATGTGTAACCAGGCCTGCACACTGTAGTTGTAAGCAGGCCAGTTTTCTAGAAGGGTGGAGATGTAGGTCACTTCGGTAGTTCATAGCACTGAACTGCTTGCCTGAAAGTGCTTTCACCTTCCCACGTGCAGCGGCGTTAGGTGGCATGCCCAGTTCTGGGTTCAGAGGTGATGCTTTACTGGAATTGAAAATGATCCCAAGTGTTTGCCTTCCAGCTGCAATCTGTAAGCACTTTATTTCTTTAAAGATGGTCTCTGATTTTTATTACAAGATCACTGCTGCTGCTGATGTATGTCAGATAGAGGATTGCTCTGCCTAAAGTAAGGCTTGGGGAAGATAAGACGGGAAAATGCGAACTGTTGCATTGCTTCAGCCAAATGCTTTACCAACTGTGTGGTCCTCAACATAGCTTTGTATCGATGAGTGTGCCAGGAGAGGGGCTTTGACCTAGTCTTGGGCACTCAGGGGTGCACCCAGTGGCAGAGAGCAATGGCTGGGTGATCCAGTGGATTCCTGTGACTTGCCACCAGTGCTGGATAAGCAAAGGGGAGGCCTGTTTACCATAGGCTGTGCTGTCCTGGAGAACCCTCCTCCCCCTTGGGAGACAGTCCTTTACACTATACACATGGTTTTGACATATACCAAGGGTTCCACCGACCTTGCAACAGGCCAGGCAGCCTGCTGGGTGGGCAGCCACAACTTCTCTGAGCAGCCTGTTCCAGTGCCTCCCCACCTTCACAGTAAAGAACTTCTTCCTAATATGTAACCTAAATCTAACCCAATTTAAAGCCATTCCCCCTTGTCCTATCCCTACATGCCCTTGTAAAAAGTCTCTCTCCAGATTTCTTGTAAGGCTCCCTTTAAGTACTGGAAGACTGCTCTGAGGTCTGGAATATTCTCCAGGCTGAACAAACCCAACTCTCTCAGCCTGTCTTTGTAGGAAAGGTGCCCCAGCCCTCTGAAAATACGTGTTTTTCTGGTGGAGCTAGTGAAAGGGACTCACTTAGAGGTTACATTAGCTTATGCAATAAGGGCATCCTTAATAATGATGGCTCTTACTATTAATGAAGCAAAAAAGCCCCAACAAAACAAGCAAACCAGTCCCTCACACTGTGTGGTATTAAACACATTTAGACTTGTAACTGAAAAAAATTTAAGCATTTTATGATAATTTAAATAGTGGTCCACTGCGTTGCCTGTATAAAATGTACTGGATGAGAAGATGAAGATTTTTAAAGGGTTTTGTTAAATTATTCTTGTTCACCATAAAACTGAATTAATTTCAGATCAATAAGCAGTCTTTTTGAATTAAGTGTGCATGCTACCTCACAAAAGCTGTATGTGGTGCATTCAGAATAATGCAGGTTGGAAAGGCTTTTTGCTATCTATTTGCTTTTCCAGTTGGCCGTATTGTAAACTTAGGTCTCTTACTGTAGCTCCAAATACATTTGATAAGAATGGATACTTTCAGATTCGTACCCTTTACCTGAGTAAAGGTTGTATCATTTTTATCAGGCAGTCTGCAATAATCATAGAATCATAGAATAGTCGGGGTTGGAAAGGACCTTAAGACCATCTAGTTCCAACGACCCTACCATGGGCAGGGGCACCTCACACTAAACCATCTCACCCAAGGATCTGTCCAACCTGGCCTTGAACACCACCAGGTATGGAGCATTCACAACTTCCCTGGGCAGCCCATTCCAGTGCCTCACCACCCTCACAGTAAAGAATTTCCTCCTTATATCCAATCTAAACTTCCCCTGTTTAAGTTTTAACCTGTTACCCCTTGTCCTGCCACTACAGTCCCTAATGAAGAGTCCCTCCCCAGCATCCCTATAGGCCCCCTTCAGATACTGGAAGGCTGCTATGAGGTCTCCACGCAGCCTTCTCTTCTCCAGGCTGAACAGCCCCAACTTTCTCAGCCTGTCTTTGTACAGGAGGTGCTCCAGTCCCCTGATCATCCTCGTGGCCCTCCTCTGGACTTGTTCCAACAGTTCCATGTCCTTTTTATGTTGAGGACACCAGAACTGCACACAATACTCCAAGTGAGGCAATGTGTTTATGTAATGTACTTTTGTTTTATATAGTGAAGCTCGTATTTATTGCCAACTGGCTTGTTCAAATGTTGGCTCCATCCTGTTGCACACAGCTTGTTTTGAACCCTACCTGCAAACATGCTGTGAATAATTTTTTTTTACCTATTAACAAATACTTCTAAGCATCATTTTCTTGTAGGATGATTTTGTACCAATACAAATGTTTTTTGCAAGATCATGCACAGACTCTGTTGCTTGTTGGCTGTTAGTGATTAGAAAGTAGCCTTTCTTTAGGCGCTGAACAAAATCTCTATTTTCTGCACTAGGCAGGTGCCAGACGAGTGCAAGTAATGCATTAACAGCAGTGTGGCAAAGTAGCAAAGTCCTGTTGATAGCTGAGCCCTGCTAATGACTGTTCACATATATTAGGCTAGAATATTTGTGGAGCTCTTTCCTGGTACTCTTTGTCAGTTTTTCTTGGGGAGGGAAAAAAAAAGTGGTGTTCTGCTCTCTCCTCCCAGCTTTAATTTACGCTGTAGTACATCCACCAATCCAGACAAATCTGATGGTTGACTAAAGCTCTGCCACCTCCCTTTCTGCAGAAACATCGTATGAGAAATGCATTTTGTGTGCCAGAATATTTATATGAGTTTGTACTCCTACTCCTCCTGTGCACACTTCACTGCACTTGTTCCTTTTGCTTTGATCAAGTGCTCCATAAGCATTTGCCAACTTTCACATGCGTTGGAATAAGATACCCAGTCCTACACTGTTCAGCCGTGTCTTCCTGTGAAAGCCAGTGCGTTATTTGGTGGCATTTAAGACACGTATGCTATTACCTTCCAAAACACTTGCAACACTGACATACTCTTTCAGCTGTG